AGGAAGCTGTTGGGTCCCATTTGCAAATTGATTTTTGGGGGTAAGGAAAACTAGTGTACATGTGCCTGTCTAATTAACAGGTAGACACATGTAGGTGGAGGAGCCACAGGGAAGAAGAGACCTTGAGTAAGGCAAAACTGGAAATGTAAAGTGTAAAGATGAGAAGGAGAAAAACTGGCCATGACGGACAGAAGTTGAAACGCTAGATGCTTGTTTAGATACCTTGTTAGCATAAGCATTGCCCTGAGCTATGGGATCTGATGCCCTTTGATGGCCTTTGCAGTGAATGGCCTCAGTTTTCTTGGAAGTAGAGCAGCTTTAAGAAGAGTTTTTATTAGGGAGGTATTAATGATGGAGAACCCTTATGTAGTGAGGAAACCTCTTTCTGCCCATATAATAGCATGGTGTTGAAGGATGTGGAAGGCATACTTGGAATCGTTATAGATATTGACACATAGTTCCATTGCAAGAATGAGGGCTCGAGTTAAGGCAATGAGTTCAGCTTGTTGAGAGGTAGCAGAAGGGGGCAGGCCCATAGCCTCAGTGATAGATGTGGAAGACACTATAGCATAGCCTGCCTTTGCCGGTGATTGGCAATTGGGCCTGGAAGAACTACCATCAGTAAACCAAGTATGGTCTGGGTGAGGAACAGGAAAGAGGGAAATATGGTGAAAAGGGGAGAATGCCATGTGGATTGGAGGGATACAGTCATGGGGTTCAGATGTAATATCGGGAATAAGATGAGAGGTTGGATTGAAGTCTGGACCAGGAACAATGGTAATTGTGGGAGATTCAACAAATAGTGAGTACAGTTGAAGGAGCCAGGGCGCAGAAAGTATATATGTCAAGTGTGAGGAGGAGAATAAATTTTGAAAGTTATGGGAACTGTAGAGAGTAACGGGAGCATAGTCTATGATTTTGAGGGCTTCCAGAAGTATTAAAGTGGCAGTTGCCACTGCATGCACACATGAGGGTCACCCCAGAATTGTGATGTCAAGTTGTTTTGATAGAAAGGTAACAGGTTGTGGGCCTGGTTCCTGTGTGAGGACTCTAGCAGCACAGCCTTGTATTTCAGCTGTGTGTAAGGAAAAAGACTGGGACGAGTCGGGGAGTGCTAGTGTGGAAGCTGTCCCCAGGGCCTTTTTGAGAGAGTGAAAAGAAGATAGCAAAGCCTGGTATCCAGAGTTGGAAATATCCAACAATGCCTGAGAAGGAAAGGAATTGTTGTTTGGTGGTGGGGACAGGGGTTTGAGAGATCAACTGGACACAATCAGCAGGGAGAGCGTGTGTGTTTTCATGAAGAATTATGCCGAGATAGATAACAGATGAGGAAGAAATTTGGGCTTTGGAGGGGGATACACGATATCCTTTTGAGAATAGATGTTGGAGGAACAGGAGGATGTCCTGTTGAGAAGATTCATAGGAGGGGCTATAAAGTAGAAGGTCATCAAAATATTGAATAAGATGAGAAGCAGATGGACAGACAGAAAGTAAACCATGAGAAAGGGCTTGACTGAAGTAATGGGGGCTGTCCCTGAAACCTTGTGGCAGTACAGTCCAGGTAAGTCGCCAAGGCTGATGGGTGTCAGGGTCAGTCCAGGTAAAAACAAAGAGAGGCTGGGATGAGAGGTGCAGGGGAATAGTGAAAAAAGCATCTTTAAGATCAAGAACACAATAGTGAGTTGCAGAAGAAGTTATTGAGGACAAAAGGGTGTATGGATTTGGCACCACAGAGTGAATAAGCAAAACAATTTGGTTGATAAAGCACAGATCCTGAACTAACCTGTAAGACTTGTCCAGTTTTTGGACAGGTAAAATGAGGGAATTGTAAGGAGAGTTTATAGGCTTTAAAAGGCCATGCTGTAACAGGCGACTGATAACAGGCTTTAGTCCCCTCAAAGTCTGTTGTGGGATGGCATACTGGCATTGAGAGGGGTAAGGGTGATTACATTTTAAAGGGATGGTAAGGGGTGCATGATCAGTCGCCAAGGAGGGAGTAGAGGTATCCTATACTTGTGGATTAAGGTAGGGAGATGAAAGGGGAGGATGTGAAGGAGGCTCTGAACTGGGGAAAAGGGTGGCAATGAGGTGTGACTATAGCCCAGGAATAGTCAAGGAAGCAGATAATTTACTTAAAATGTCTCGACCTTTTATAAGAGAGGTGGGCAGGTGGGGATAACTAAAAAGGAGTGCATAAAAGATTGTTATCCAAGTCAGCACCAGAGTTGGGAAATTTTAAGAAGTTTAGAAGCCTGGCCATCAATACCCACAACAGTTATAGAGGCAAGGGAAACAGGCCCTTGAAATGAAAGTAATGTGGAGTGGGTGGCCTCCATATTGATTAAGAAGGGGATGGACTTACCCTCCACTGTAAGAGTTACCCAAAGCATCTGTGATGGTCCAGGAGGCTTCTGAGGTGATCAAGCAGCATCAGTCTTCAGCTGCTAAGCCAAGAAGATCTGGGAAGGAGTCAGTCAGAGAGCCTTGGGCCAGAGTTCCAGGGGCTCTGGGAGTGGCTGCTGGGCGAATTGAACAGTCCAGTTTCCAGTGGGGTCCCACACACATGGGACACAGCTTAGGAGGAATCCCGGGCTGCAGGCATTCCTTGGCCCAGTGGCCAGATTTCTAGCACTTGAAGCAAGATCCTTGGGGAGGAGGTCCTGGAGGAACACCTGACCACTGCAGTTTAGGCGTTTTGAAGTTCTTGTGTGCTGGAGATGTGGCTGGGGTTTCTCTCACAATGCAGGCAAGTAATTGCAACTCAGAAATACGTTGCCACTTGGCTGCCTCTTCTCTATTATTGTACACCTTGAAGGCGAGGTTAATTAAATCCTGTTGTGGGGTTTGAGGGTGAGAATCTAATTTTTGGAACTTTTTTAATGTCTGGAGTGGATTGGCTAATAAAATGCATATTGAGAATAAGATGGCTTTCTGGCCTCTCTGGGTCTAGCACAGTAAAGTGTCTAAGGGTTGTTGCTAAATGGGCCATGAACTGGGCTGGGTTTTTATATTTGATTAAAAAAAAAAAAAGAAAAAAAGCCTAAATGCTACCTGATTTGGGAGAGGTCAGATAAAGAAAAAGGAGCATTAACCTTGACTATGCCTTCAGCTCCAGCCACCTTTTTAAGAGGAAATTGTTGGGCAGGTGGGGGAGGGCTAGTCACAGAATGAAACTGCAAGCTGGACCAGGTGTGAGGAGGGGAGGTGATAGAAGGATTATAGGGTGGGGGAGCGCAGGCTGAGGAAGAATTGGGACCTGGCTCGGCCTGGCTGGTCAGCAGCAGCCTGGGGAAGGGGGAAAAGGTCAGATGGATCTGTAGAAAAGGAGAATTCAAAGGACTCAGAGTTTGGGGTGGAGACTAAAGAAACAGGAGAGAAAGAAGAAAGATTTGGGATGAGTCGCATTAGGAGCAGAGACTAGGGAAGGACCAATGTGTGAAAGAGTGCCTGGATGTCAGGCACCTCAGATTGTTTGCCCATTTTTCGACAAAAATCATCTAGGTCTTGTAAGATGAATAAATCAAAAGTGCCGTTTTCTGGCCATTTGGAACCAGTTGGGTTTGTATTGGGGCCAAGCGGTATTGCAGGAGAAAATAAGGCATTTAGGTTTTAGGTCAGGGGTGAGTTGAAGAGGTTTTAAGTTATTGAGAACACAGGCTAAGGGAGAAGAAGGGGGAATGGAGGGTGGAAGGTTGCCCATAGTGAAGAGGTAAGTTTAAAGAGAAAGGTAGAGACAGAGAAGGGGGTGGTGCGATGAGCAGCCCTGGGCTGTAATGTGGGTGAGCAGCCAAAGCAGGCATCCCTGCAATTGACTTGCCACCAATGGAATGTGGGTGAATGACCAAGGCAGGCATCCCCACGGTGATCAGACACCAATGGAATGTGGGGTGAATGATAGGGCAGGCATCCCCACGGTGATCAGACACCAGTGGAATGTGGGGTGAATGATCAGGGCAGGCATCCCCACGGTGATCAGACACCAATGGAATGTGGGGTGAATGATCAGGGCAGGCATCCCCACGGTGATCAGACACCAAGGGAAGACTGTCTTCCCGAGTCCATGACCAGCATCAGAGTTTTGGGTCCGTGGATAAAATGTGTCTCCTTTGTCTCTACTGAAGAGGAAAACAAACTAGAATTGGAAGGACAGGGAAATTGAAGGTTAGCAAGACAGGCTGGAGAAGAGAGTGAAAAGACCGCTTACCTAATTTGAAATTGGTGAGATGTTCCTTGGACTGGTTGGTCTGAGGACCTGAGGTCATAGGTGGATCTCCTCATGGAGTGAGGGCGAGGACAGGGGGCCAGTCTCCTGAAGGAGTCCCCCTGTCCTGGGTCTTTGGCACTAAATATCACATGCTTCCATATGAAGAGACCACCAAACAGGCTTTGTGTGAGCAATAAAGCTTTTTAGTCACCTGGATGCAGGTGGACTGAGTCCGAAAAAAGAGTCAGCAAAGGGAGATGGGGTGGGGCCTTTATAGGATTTGGGTAGGTAGTGGAAAATTACAGTCAAAGTGGGTTATTCTCTTGTGGGCAGCGGTGGGGGGTCACAAGGTGCTCAGTGGGGAGCTCCTGAGACTCATTGTCCAGGAGAAGGAATGTCACAAGTTTAATTGATCAGTTGAGGTGGGGCAGGAACAAATCACAATGGTGGAATGTCATCAGTTAAGGCAGGAATTGGCTATTTTCACTTCTTTTGTGGTTCTTCAGTTGCTTCAGGCCATCTGGATGTATAGTGCAGGCTTGGGCTCAGAGGCCTGACAGTTCCCTAATTTGTTTCTAAATATTCTAAGGGAGAAGGAAGGGCTGTGAGAATTGTCTTTGAGAGGAATCATTCTCTCTGGAGTAAATGAGATAAATCTTCAGTGTTATGGTCATGGATCTGATAGGCATTAGTCTTTGACCAGAGTTTATGAGGTTATTAAGGTGCATGCATGTTTATAAACTAGAGAAGAATTTTAAAATTGGAGAAAAAGATATAATACCATAGCACAGTCTTCTCAGGTACCTTCAGTTTAAGTCCTTTATTACAAGAAAAACAAAAAATCTTTCAGTCAGCAAGAGCACATGAGTCTTAATGATCTAGTACTTTTTTTAATACTTTGACTTACTAGGGTGATTCAAAGGTTCAGGAAAAAGAAAATTCCCAATATCATTTTCTTAATCTCATTCAACCCAAACATAACAATGCCAAAAAATACAGAGCTCACATTTTGCTGGCATACATTGCCAAATTTTTAATGCCTCCCTGGACAGGTGAATTTTAAGGATTAAAAAAAAGCAGAGACTTTAAAAACATTCCTTGTGATGAAGTAGAAAAAGCCCTGAATAAGTGGCCAGCTACACTGGATTTTTGTCTCAATTCTTCCAGTAGTTTTATAGTCTTCAGCAAATCCCTTAACTTTGAGCTTCTATATGTAATGACATCATTATAAGTGCTGTGGTATTAAAATGTGATAAACATAGATGAAAGCATTTTTGAAATGTTTGAAATACTACATAAATACACATAATAACTAAATTCCACAGGATAGGATCTGAGAGAGCTAAGCTGAGCAGTATTATAAAAGGAAGCTTATTACAGAAAAGCCCAGCCTCGTTCATTATAGGTTTATGTCTCCATTTCTCTTTGGTGCAATGTATTTAATAGAACGAGTTATATAGAGAAAAAGAATAAGAAATGAGCTGAGGAGACAGAGCCTGGGACAGCTCAAATGCATTACTCACTGCTATTTAAGGAGTAAGTGTAAGGTCAACCACTCGTGATAATCCCTACAGGGTGGCATCTAACCGTCAAAGTGCACAGGCACCTGTGGGTTACCCTCGCAGGCAATGACAACACGTCTAGTGCTCGCCATGGCCCGATATCTGCAGTTGGGTGCCTTGGAACTTCCTGTATCCCTGCAGTCTGTGACCTTCACTACACCCTCATGGCAGTTCATCTTGCCGTTCTTGCATTGGATATTGGCGGTGCTGCAGATACTACGAATGTTCCAGATATCTTCATGGATGAAGGTGTTGAAGCGCTTGCAATGATACAAAGTCATCTTCCGTCTTTGCATCATCATGTTGCAGTAGCGATCATTGCCACCTGTCTCCTCAGGGTGCACATGTTGCCTCAGGAATCGTTGGTACATGCCATTCTGGCCATAGGAGGGCTGGACCAGCCCCAGCCCCAGCAGGGTCAGCAGCAAAAGCAGAAGCAATGAATGGGTCCTCTGCAGAGCCATCAGTACCTTAGAGGTGCCTAGAAAAGAAAGCAAGGGGCAGGAGAAATAAGGTAAGAACTGGGCACTGGAAAAAGGTGTTGAGAATAGCAAGCTGGCATCCTGACTCCATAGTCTCCTCTTTCCTCCTTCTTATAGGCTCCATCTCCCCACTCATCTCTGCTACTTTTCCCACCCTTGCTTCCCCAAGAGTGAGTAGTTTGCAAACATGATCTTTTCTGAAAGCAAGACCTTTCTCATTTACAGAGAGAAGTTGCTGCAGCCGGTACAATGACACAGGTCAGGGACAGACTGCGTGGCTGTGACTGCGTGGCTGCCAGGCTTGTGTGGTCAGAGTATAAAAAGAGAGAAAGGGTGAACCTACATGCAACTGCAGTTGTGTGTCTCTTGGGGGAATTCCGTATGTGTATGATCTTTGGGGAGTGTTTGGTTCCCAGGAAGCTCCAATTCCCGACAGTTTGGGTAGACTCAGGATACGTCAAAGAAAGTTTGTAAACTACTTTTAATACCTTACATCTGGGAATCTAGGTGGAGGAAGAGGACAGAGGAATATTTAGGCTTTGCCTTTCCTCTCATGACTATTCTTATTGTCATTAATTTTATTATTTTTATTTTCTTTTTATCATGTGGCTATTATTCTAATGTGACTTAAAATATATTATTCTAATTCCAGAATAATATATGTTATACATTAATCTAAAAGGTATTATTCTAATTCTAATGTAAAATCAGGTCCTTTTGGAAATCCTTTTAATTCTATTAAAAAAAAAAAAAAACCAGAGTACCCAGATAGAGTACTTAGAAGACAGTTGATAATAGCTACTGTTTGAATAAACTAATAAGTGAAATCAGTGAACTAATGAACAAATGCAATTAAATGGATAGAGTAAAGGTGTTTCCCAGGCTTATGAAATTGACTAATAAGAAAAGCTAGGAAATGTCTAAAAAATAAATTTAAACAGCACAATATCCTCAAAAGAAAACTTAGATTGTGTCTTCTTCTCCTTGCTGTTTCTATGCATACATAACCTAAAAAATCTAGGCCCTGGAGATACATTGCTTTGTCTTGCATCTATTCTTGATGTTCCTCCTGTCTTGTCAATAGTTGTTGGTAGCTGTCTGTCTTCTCTAGTTGCAGCATCATTGTGTTGTCACCTGTTGCAGTGAAAAATAAGCATATATTTTATAGCATTAAAAAAAAATCCAGAGCAGCAACAAAAAAAGCATTGCCATGTAGTTTCCGAACATTCGTTGCTTTCGTTGACAGATTAAAGAAAGGAATCCAGGCCTATCTTAGTCTATTCCCTGTGCTCTTTCCACTATCCTCTACTGCCTCTCTCATCCCATGCCCCAAATATTCAGGATATCAAAGACTCTATATATGCTCAGAATTGCTACTTCCCAGCAGCAGAGTTTAATCAAGATTGGAGGTGGAATCACTCACCAACTGACTAGCCAGATGCTGCCATCTGGCCGTCACTCCTGGAATTGACATGAATTGTGAATCGGCTTGACTCTTGCAGTGAAGCAGGTGAAGCAGGGTCGACTTACTACAGCAAAGAAAAATCATCCCTGATTCAACAGGAAGTGAGCAACCCAAATTAGCAAGGGCAATGTTTTGAGAGTCAGGCAGCCCAACTCTACATGGGCAGTCCAAGGACTGACCCCAGTGGAACTCCTAGTTTGATGTATATGGGTACTATTGTCTTTTGATTTCAAAGTCTGCTTCATAATGGTGGATCACACTGTGTGAATGACTGAAATGGCTTCCAAGGGACCTGTACCTTACTTGGTTCTGCTGAAAGCCTACCTTTTGATTACTGATAATGAAAGCAGTATCAAACACGGATATTGTTCTTTTAAATGCCACCTCCTTTATCCATAGCCACCTTTTGCCTTTGCGCATAAAGATATAAAGCTGTATGTCATATTTGTGTGCCCGCAGCTGTAGATGTGAGATACGATGTTAGGAAGAGAAAGAAGTAAAGAGGTTGTGGGAGGAAGGGCAGATGTTTGATTTCTTTTTTGCCTCAAGAACAATGCATACAACTTCTGAAGGTATACTTAGTACTTGGATTATAGCTTCAGCAGATCAATATACTTTGGCTTGCTTTTCTGGTGGCACCTGGAGTTTCCATAGTTTCATCTACTTTCTCTTATCCTGATTCTTTGTGACCAAAAATATGGTTTAGCAAGATAACTGGCTACAGAGAAAATCTCACCTATTCATGTGAGAGCAGACCCAGGATGTCAGCTTTTCTACACTAACCAAGTAAACAAGACATAGAGAAATATTTGAAGACAGCAGGCCAGTGTGGACACCAATGGGTGCATCTACAAGAGAAAATTGAATGATCTCCACATCATCCCAACACATACTTTTGGGCCAGGATTTTCCCCAAACACTTTCTTCATTGCACTACCCTGACTAACAGTAAGAACTTCTTTTGACACTGTGGTCTAAAAGACTGAGGCTGTGACCATGAGAAAATTACTTAACCTCTCTCAGCAGATTCCCTCATAAGCAAAATACGCATACAATACCTACCTCTTAGGGATGTTATGAAGACAAAATAAATCTAAGTGCCTATAACAAGGCCTAGCATATAGTAAATGCTCAGTAAATGTTGGCAATTATTGCATTTTTTTTTTTATACCACTTCCATTTTTCTTGGTTTCCTCTGCTTCTGTCAATCTGGATAAAATAATGAATGACTACAGAGTTGCATATATTATTGACTCCTCTTTATTTCGTAGAGCTAACTATAGTCTCAAGATATTGGAAGTCTGTTTTTAAACTATAAAATATCTCAGCTACTAGATCCCTAGAAAAATTTTTCCTCTCCAAATTGCATGGAATTTTCTTCCTTGTATGTCACTATTCTTCAAAGGACTTAGCATTTTGGAGTGTTCTTTCTTTTTCCTTGCAAAGCCAACAATCACAGCTGACCAGGACTTCAATTCCTCAAATGATTCACTCAGGACAAAATGACCTGCCTGTGGTTTGACATTTTATTTTAAACAGCTTGTGGTTGTGATAGAACAAAAGGCCCATACCAAAAAGGACTGGGAATGCTTGCCCAGCTGCCAGTACCATCAGCAGCTCAGGAAACACCCCCATCCCACTGCCATGTGATTTCCTGTGAAATAGCCATTTCCCTTAACACCAGAGCAAACGATGTGATGATAATGCTCCAAGCAGATGTTTGGAGAAGATGTGAGTTTTCACAGCTTATGATGTGATCAATATAATAATGGTCCGTGCCTTTGACTTGCCCTATCAAGGCCTTGAGTGGGAGCAATGATCTTGAGTAACTTTGCCTCACCTCAAGAAAATAGCACTGGTTGGAGAACTTAAGAAAAGGGCCCAAATAGTTTACCAGAAACTGGGACTTTCTCATTTCCTGAGAGTTTTTGAGATTTGGTAATATGGCAAATTTTCTAGTAAGAGAGGTTTGGAATACTTTTTCCTGTTTTCTTAAGGAATGACAGTGTTTTCAGTTTTGAAATAGACTAACCGAAGGAGGAGAGATTCCTGTGCTGAGCACACACCAGCAACCTACTTCTCAAACCCATTCCTAAATTTGATACTTTCAGTGAGGCTGGGCTCTCCTAGGTGGTACCTGGACAGCGTTCTATAACCTGAGCATTGGGGAGCCAAGGCTTTTGGCCCATTTCAGGGCAATACCAGGAGTAGGAGAAGCCACCATAGGGAATACTGAGACCACAATAATTATGTGTTCAGAAGGCAGTGAAACTGGTGATTTATAACTAATTTATTGGCAACTACTTTCTAAATAACATATCCAGGTACCTGTTAACAGAAATTAGGTAACAAGAAGCTGACTACTGAGTCTGTAGATTGAACAGTGTATTTTACAAAGAGAGTGTTAACCTAAGTTATCTTTACAACAAATCTTGAGGAAGAATAAGGGATAAACTGGGAATCTTTCCTTTTTTTTGAGATGGAGTCTCGCTCTGTCGCCCAGGCTGGAGTGCAGTGGCGTGATCTCGGCTCACTGCAACCTCTGCCTCCTGGGTTCAAGCGATTCTCCTGCCTCAGCCTCCCGAATAGCTGGGACTATAGGTACATGCCACTACGCCCAGCTAATTTTTGCATTTTTAGTGGAGACAAGGTTTCACCATGTTGTCCAGGATGGTCTTGATCTCTTGACCTCAGGATCTGCCTGCCTCAGCTTCCCAAAGTGCTGGGATTACAGGTGTGAGCCACAGCGCCTGGCCGGAATCTTTCTGTAACTTCCCCAAAACATCACACTTGCCAGACATTAGCTGACTAAGTAAAAGATTACAGAGTAAATAATGTAATTGGTTTTTGAAATTTATATAAAATAACCATGACAAGAGAATATCCTGGGAGCAATCCATTCAAACATCAAAACTATCTCTCGCTTAAGACAAAAAGGTGGCTACCCTGAATGAATTTTGGTATTTGTGCTGGATTACATATCTGTATGTGTATGTGTGTGTGTGTGTGTGTGTGTGCGCGTGCGCGCGTGCGTGTGTGTAACAGAGAGAGAGAAACTAATAATCTGTTGGTATATTGGTACTTGGTCCTTGGAAACTCCTCCTGAAGGTCTCGTATTTGTAGAAGTAATATTAGCTTATTATTTGACAGAAAAAACAATTTGCCTCTCTTAAAAATTCTGCTTAGTGGCTATGAGCCCTGGAATTTTTCCATCTCTCTAGATCAACTTACCATTCTTTCCCTCACAGAGAGGTAAAATCTACCTCCCTAATGACTTGTAAAAAACTGACTGATAAGGTAAAAGTGGCCAGGCTCGGAGGCTCATGCCTGTAATCCCAGCACTTTGGGAGGCCAAGGTGGGTGGATCGCCTGAGGTCAGGAGTTCAAGATCAACCTGGCCAAAATGGTGAAATCCTGTCTCTATTAAGAACACAAAAATTAGCCAAGTATGGTGGTACATGCCTGTAATCCCAGCTATTTGGGAGGCTGAGGCAGGAGAATCACTTGAACCCAGGAGGCAGAGGTTGTGGTGGGCCAAGACTGTGCCATTGCACTCAAGCCTGGCAATAGAGTGAGACTCCGTCTCAAAAAAAAAGAAAAGAAAAGAAAAGAAAAAGGCATTTCTATCCTATGCAGTCCTCTCAGGGAGCAACCAAGTAGAGAAAATGGGGGAAAGATCAATATGCCCAGAATCAGTGAGAAGACTCTGATTCTTACTGATATCAGCGACATTTTTATTTATTAAACATATTGTCAGACAGAAAACAAAAGGTCCAGGTAGCTCTTTCTTTGGGCCCTTGGCAATGCATGTTGCCACACTGTTCTAGGGTGCAGAGGGGAAATGTAAGGCAAGGGCAGCAGAGCCAGCACTTGACCAGTGGCCCGCTGGTTACGGACGGAAAATGGACTCATCCAAGTGGACAGGTAGGCCATTTTCACAACCAACAACAATGTTTCTGGACCCCCGTGTGGCTCGGTACTGGCATGGAGGCCGGGGGGATCCTCCATGTAGCTTGCAAGTGGTGACCTGGAAAGGAGACTTGCTTATTCTTAGGTTTCCTCCGTAAGGGTTTCCATTCTCATCTCCACAGATGGCCTTGATGTGGTGCCTGTTGCCATGAATAAAGGTGTTGGTGTCTTTGCAGGGTGAGGTCAGGTGCCGTCTCCTCATCGTGCTTTCACAGTATCTGTCATTCCGGCCCTGTGGTGTGGCATCATAGTGCTTGGCCAGGAAGTCTCTGTACCTGGGGTTATCCTGAGCCAGGGTGGGTGGGGTCAGACCCAGACCCAGCATGAAGACCAACAAGAAAAGGCCCAGGCGCATCACCATCTCTTCCAACACAGGCTCCTGCCAAGGGCAAAAGGAGGAATGGTAGATGCAAGAACAGCATCACCAAATCAGGCAAAAAGAACAGGAGCTTTTCTCTCTGACACGGCATCATGAATCAGATCTTTTCCGCCACCAAATTATATATTCTATTCTCCCTTTCTCATTAACCTTACACCTGTTCTGAATCCATTCCTCTGGAAGGTCTATTTAATAGTTTCCTGAGCACAACCTCTAGCTCCAACCATTCTTTCCTATCCCTTAGAATCACTGAGTATTTCTCTGTCAGTCGTTACATTACAAAATCCACTCTCACTAATTCACTTATTAATTAATTGAATAACGAACATTACATAGGTCCCTACTGGGTACCAGGGACTGTACTAGGTCCTGACGCACATTCAGACATACCAAATGACGGCCGGGCGCGGTGGCTCACGCCTGTAATCCCAGCACTTTGGGAGGCCGAGACGGGCGGATCACGTGGTCAGGAAATCGAGACCATCCTGGCTAACACAGTGAAACCCCATCTCTACTAAAAATACAAAAAATTAGCCGGGCGTGGTGGCGGGCGCCTGTGGTCCCAGCTACCTGGGAGGCTGAGGCAGGAGACTGGCGTGAACCAGGGAGGTGGAGCTTGCAGTGAGCGAGATCGCGCCACTGCACTCCAGCCTGGGCGGCGACAGAGGCAGACTCTGTCAAAAAAAAAGACATACCAAATGCCTCCCTAATAGGAAATGAGGCATCCATGGGGAAAGGATGGGGGCTTCAGTGTACTGAGATGAGATAGTAATACAGGAGGTGAGAGATAAGGAGAGATAGTTTTAGGGGAGTGGTCTCTAACACTTTTGGCACCAGGGACCATTTTTGTGGAAGACAGTATTTCCATGGATGGGTGGGGGATGGTTTCAGGATGAAATTGTTCTGGCTTAGATCATCAAGCATTAGTTTAATTTAGGGTCTCATAAAGAGGACACAATCTGGATCCCGCACATGCGCAGTTCACAATAGAGGTGTCCGGCTCCTGTGAGAATCTAATGCTGCCTGCTGATCTGACAGGAGGCAGAGCTCAGGCGGACAGGCCACAGACCGGGATTTGGGGACCTCTGTTTTAGGGAATCCTGAGCCCAGAGAAGGATCAACCATAAAATTGTTTACGACAGAATTCTAGCTAATTACTCAGCTAATGTGAAGAAAGCAGTTGAAAGCAGTCGCATCCTGAGTTGAGGGGAAGCAGACCTACTTCCCCAAGAAGTAGGTGGTTCGTGGCCAAAGGTGAATTTATTCTTTACCATTTAGAAAGAAGAGGGAGGAGCATGGAAGAAGACACGCGATGTTTGGAAGATGGGTCTGGAATCAACCCTTACAGAGAAGAAAGAGGAATATGAGCTTATTCTTAGGAGCTTCTCACATTGGAAGCAATTGAGATTATTCTAGAGAATATTTTCTAGTTTCTCCTGCATATGTACATATGCTGTTACACAACAGGCAAAAGGTGCTACCATGTGGTAAAAAAATGCCTTAGACTTTTTTTTATCAAATCAAAGGCCTTATAGTTTGCTCTAATGATTTCTTAACATCTTCCTCAAAAGAAGAGAAAAAGAGGATTCCTGCCATCACCTCTCAAGAGCTGTCGCTCTCAAACTCTAGAACGCACACATCCCAGGAATGGTGCATCACAGACACTCAACACACCTTTAGGAAGATGCTTTAGGTAAATACGGTGCTTCTTCCTGGAGCTTAATTTTAACTCAATGACTGATCATTGACAATAGAACTAAACAAATATGAATTATAACAAAATAGAAAGCAAATTTCTTATGAACTTTTAAGATTCTATTTCTTATGAAAGTTGAAGATTAGAGAATTGAAAAGTATTTGGTATGTGCAACAAGTAGTTTCTGACTATACCTTTAGTTCTTTGGAGAAAATTTTAAAGACCATTCAGAGCCTTTAAAAATCATTACAGATCTAACCCACATTATATCTAATATATGTGAATGCCCCTATATTTGACAACAAAAATAACTTTTCACTGTAAAATTTTACCTGATTTTTGGAATTTTGCTTTTCAAATTGTTCATTTATAAGTAACTCATTGAATTTATGACTGGCTATGATTTCTTGGTAGTCATCACACATACTGAGAAATTCTCACAAAGGGAGAAAAATCTGATCTTCAAATTGTATTACATTCTTAAATGTAATACAATTCTTATGACCCCTAAACGTAAAAATAAATGGTACACTTTCATAGACACTAAATTAATTATTAATTTTTTATTTGGTGCTTCTCTTGTGTGTAAGTCAATGAACATCTTCATATCAAATAGTTCTGTAGCCTTTGCCGGAAGCACCAATGTTGTACAAGTTGTGGGGATGTTGCTGTCCACAGAAGGGAGTCTGAGCTTAAAAAGGCCATGGGTCCTAGCACTAGGCCTGTGCTGTGGCTAGCCTGTTCTGAGAGCAAGACTGTGGATCTAGAAAGACACAGGACTCCAGTGTTCTACGGTTACATAGGAAGACATGTGGGGTGAGCAAAGTGGGCTCTCTTTCTAATTTGCATTTGGTATTGATTCCATTACAAATTATAACCTATGAACTTAATGCAAACATTTCCAGCTGCTATTTACTTCATTATTGTGGAATGAAAAATTCCTTAGCATATAATTTGGTATTTTTCAGCAGTGTATCAAATTAGTCTGCACTGACATTTTACGTCTATACTTGAGACGAGTTGCTATCTCTAAAAGTCTGAAATTCCATGCTGAAAGTGTGTTCTTGGGAGTTTATCAAGAAAGAGGTACATGATTGCAGAATGGAGAGCCAGCCCTAAAGGAGTAACAAGTATTCACTCATGCAGTTGCTCCAGTATAGCTGCTGGGCTGCCAAGCCACCCACTTCCCAAGTTCTTTACATTTACATCATGCTTTTCAGTCTCCTGCGTGTGTTTCCTGTTTCTAGTTTTTTGGAAGATCTTATCAAAGTTTTATTGATTTGTAATCAATTAAGCCTCTTGCTCTGTAATGAACAAATACTGACTTCTAATGTCAAAAGTCTCTTACATAGTCAACATCCCTCTGCCTGGTGCCAGAATCCCAGAATTCAAAAAATCAGGGAGCAGAACCAGAGCTGCTAGTACCTAAAAGAGTCATTAGGTGGCAGTGGTGGATAGGAATGTTACTAATGTCTCCTCTAGGAAAGAGACCGGACTTGGAAGAGGTGCCAATGCTGTGTAACTGGTGGGGATATTGCTGTTCACAGAAGCGAATATGAGCTGGTGAGCCTGTTTAGAATCTCTGTCCAAACCCTCTCTGCATTAGATATTAAGACCAAAGACACCTCACCAGATATAAGTGCCAAAGTAAAAGCCACAAAGCTCAGGATCTACCTATAATGATATCACAAAATGAAGATCGACCTGTTGTCAGGTTTCACAGGTGCCATTTCCAAGCATGCCATTACCCATGTGATCCTGGATGAACAATGGACTATTTACTTGTGAGTGTTTCTTACTGGTGTATATTCTACAGAACTCATATTATTCACCTTGAATCAACATGCTTGCCTTATTATACCCCTTAATAGTTTTTAAATAATTGACTTCATTTTTCTCTCCAGGCCTGTCCATCAAGAAAATAAGAGAGTTGTTAGCTCTAAAAAATCTGAAGTTTCATGGTTCTCACTAAGCATAATAGAGGCTTTGCTAGTTTCAATAGCAAAGGTCCAGTGACCTTCAGTTACAAAGACAAATTTTGTGTAAGTTTAGTTGGGGGCACAAGGCACCAACTGAAACAAGGAGATGACAGGGTGACCTGTGGCCCAATCTCATTAAGATGCATCATCCCATAAGGCTCAATGTGTAAGCCACGCTCACATAACACCTCTAGGTAAAGCACAGGACTACACAGGGGCTTTGCCTCCTAAAAAGCCACTTGTTTTTTTAGTATGAAGGCCCTCACATCCCAGTCTGCAGAGGTAAAAGGGTATCTTTGCTTCTGATTTGCAGAATATGCACATTCATTTTGTAACAAGTCAGCTAAGGTTTGCCCGGGCTTACTGTAATCTTGATTCCCTAAGACATCCAGGAGCCAAATCTCAGCAAGCGTACACCAAAACCACCAATATCTAACATCTGCTCCCTCACTCAAAACTTTCTCAATATAGTCAACTCTAAATTTCTCAAAAAGCAAGGTAAAATGGAATTGGGAGAAAACCAGTAAGAGACATATTATTTGTGGTGTAAAAGTGAATCTGCCTAAGCCAAGGGTGCAGAGCCTCACATCTGGTGGCGAAAGTCCTATAGACATATCCTTCTATACCCAAACATGTAACTGTCTGTCAGCTTTTTGTCAGTGGAATTAGCCCCAGCTGTTCTCTGTTCTTTTTTCTTTTCTTTTCTCTCTTTTTTTTTTTTTTTGAGATGGAGTCTTGTTCTATCGGCCAGGCTAGAGTGCAGTGGTGCTATCTCGGCTCACTGCAACCTCCACCTCCCTGGTTCAGGCAATTCTCCTGCCTCAGTCTCCCAAGTAGCTGGGATTACAGGCAGCTGCCACCACGCTCAGCTAATTTTGTATATTTAGTATAGAGGGGGTTTCACCATGTCGGCCAGGCTGGTCTCGAACTCCTGACCTCAGGTGATCTGCCTACCTTGGCTTCCCAAAGTGCGGGGATGACAGGTGTGAGCCACCACACCTGGCCCCATCTGTTCTTTAGAGTAACTTTATCTTCTGTATCAAATGAATCTGTTAGTTTTCACAAGGATTAATATTGTCTCCCTCTCCCCACAGGCAATGTTCAATATTCAAGAGATTCATCAAATTTTACACACCAGTGAGTTAACTTGACAGTCTATGATGAGTAACTATAGTTATCATTTTCATCAATGTGGCTTCACGCTTTTATATATCCTAGGGCAAAATCCCCCAAAGTGAGAGCCTAACACCCAAGGTATATTCATCCCTTTATTGCTTTTCCTTCCTTCTTCCCTTCAGCCTGCCAGTGAGCCTTCTTTTGATCTCGGGATGTGTTCCACTTTGTTTTCAAAGAGCATCCAAAACTTTTCTAAGAAAAGAAATTAGCAGAGAAGGTTAGAAGGAAAGAATGCTAAAAACATACTTTCTGTTTCTTTCCTTGTTAAGCCACGTGTAATGCCTGTAACAGAGGTGGACGACGTGGGAGGACTCCCGATGCCCTTCGGCAAATGGCTCCCCCAAACCTTTAGGGATTTTATCACAATTTAGAAATGCCTCCTAAACTTCCACTTGCTCCCAGTCTCACTAATTTCTCTTTATCCACATATAGGCCATCCCAAAGGAAACCTGTTTTCATTTTAAACTTTAGAATCTGATCAATTTCCTTTTTAATTCATGAGCTTGAGCCCAGAGGCTTTAAAGGGAGGAAAATGGCTTCATTAAAATGGATAGATGACTAGAAATTATATATAAAACAAATAGAACAATAGATTACCCAGGAGGAAGAATCTTACAAAAACCTGGCAATTTCCCTTCAATGGGAGATGGTTCCAGCTGTTTGTTCCTGGAGACGGGTTCTAGCTGTGTGAACCTGGAGGCCTCTCCAGGTTCTGATTATATAGTGTTCTAATAAGGGGGTGGAGAGAATAGAGCTAAGGACCCCCAATCCTGGCAGGGACATGAAAACCAAGGACACTGCTCTTGAACGAACGAGGAGGGTCATTCACCTTTTCGCTGGGCATGATTGGGTTAGATATTAACCTACCTGAATAGATTAGAGATTTGTTCTGGAAGACAAAGTTTGAGAAACATGGCCTTCTGTCCAAAAGTTACCTTTTTCTGCTGTCTGTGGTGCTTACTCTTGTCCATGGCAGGACTGAGGTTTCACTATTCACACATAATAGTCTGGATCCATAAGATAGCATCTCTGATCTCCCTGGGCCAACTCCAAGAACTGCCTTGGAAGATGTCACAGAGTAAGATATGGTCTTCCAGTAAGATGCTTTTCCACTAGACTTTCTATTTATCATTTATCATATCACATTCTATGTATCATATCACATCATTTGGTTTCATGAATGGATGCTAAGCACATTATTCCATCGATTTCATACAGCCAGGAAAGCACTTCTAGAGAAGGTTGTGTGACAGCTATTAGTACACTGCCCCTCCCCCTACACTCAACCTCTCAGCTTCTAACCCCCAAAAGTAGGCTTGCTATGTTTCCTGGGTTTCTCCTTCTTCCATCTTTACCTGTCCACAAGAGACTAACCCTGAACATTCAATCGTCTGGTCCTTATAATGTAGTTGCAAAATTGCTTATCTCCACCATCAAAGCAGGGCTGTAGATCCATTGCTTGTGTAAAAACAGTGGGCCAAAGGTCACCAGGATCACTTTATAGATCTCATAGTTACCAATATCAGACAGCAGCAGGGTACCAACTGTTTCACAGACCCCCAGCATTTGCCCACAGTGGTGTTGGATCTAGGACAGTGTTATCTTTTTAAAAATCCTCAATCCTCGGTTGTCATCCACCTACCTGCAAGTATTCAGTCTGGCTGCACTTGAGAAGCTGTCAAGAAAGACAGGCTGCCTGCTAGTGAAACAAATGCACTTGAAATCACAATCATTATAATATTCAGTGCAGTCTTTCATTTTGTGAAGCTCTCATATACATGACTACATTCAACCAGCACCAGAACTGTGTGAGGTAGGCATTATGTAAATATGCTCTGCTCATGAGGAAACTCCAAGAACAAACAGCAGATGAATGGTGGAGTCAGACTTTGAACCCTTTGTAAACAAGGAGAAAACAGACCCGTCTTTCCAGACTTAGCTCAAGCAACACCACCTCTGAGTCCCGAAAAGCGGAACTCCGCCACAACATACAACCCAAATGTGCCTGCATACACACAGCGCCATGGCCTGAAGCTCCAATTCAAGCACCAACTCACACAAACAGAGCAGCCTCTGATTTTAGAGTTCTGCAGTAGTGCTGGGCTGGGGCAACCAGCAGCCTCTGAATATAGTCAGGTCCCTTCTCTGCCTCTGGGCCTTTACTGGACAACCTTTGGAGGACTCACAATCTGCCCACAACGCCAAAAGACAGTTTTTTGTTTTTCTTTTAAACTTGGCACAAGGAAGTTTTGTTGAAACAAAAAGTAGGGTTTGGGGGAAAAATTACTATTTCATTAGAACGCATCTAGGTACTTAGTCATTTGTGTTTTAAAATACAACAAGGAATTATATTCTATGATTAAGGAACATCACATTTTTGTCAGTAATTTTAGTACAAATGAAGGAATTGCCAATTGCAAAAAAACTTCATATATTTTTTAAATGTTCAGACAGTTTTAACTTGAAAGTCATTCCCCTTTCCTGGAGATTTTTTTCTCTCTCTCCCTCAAGCCAATAATGTCCCTGCACACAGACACGGGATGCATGGGTCCTGTTTCCAAGGACTCTAGTGTTGGAGCACTTTCCTCCTTCATACAGAGTATCTATGTTTCATTCTGTCTCAGGACTAAAATTAGATGATGGGAAGAATGGACTAAATAGTTTCTAAATTTCTTTATTATTCTAACAGTTTAGGTCTATAAGCATGAAACTTATTCAGTAACGGAAGTAACAGGTAAAGAAGGAAAAGCCCGCGTGAAAAGAAGAACCACGTCTCCAGGAAGTGGCAACACTACTGACTGAAGGACAGTGGGGACAAAGTCCTGCTGACACGCCTGTATTTCCAAACAAAGACAAAAATTAAACATTTGCTTTTCAACCAACTCTGGGCTTTGTGCCCACTCCCTCTTTCCCAAGTATTTCATGGCATTCTTCTGGGAATAACTGTTTACAGAGAATTACAGAGAATCTGCTTAAATACAGATTAAATAAAAACTCCTAAAGAAAGGTTTCACTGGCCTTCACTGGTCCACTTTTTTATCCATCTACTTTAATTTGAGTCACAGTGACAAATGCTTCCAACAATAACTTGGCAAACCTCTTACTCTTGCCTGCTTATAACCTGATTATCTGCTGTCAGCAATAGCTAAAGCCATTCCTCTTTTCTTGGAATGACTTTTTCCATCCTCTCTGCCAAACTATAGTTCGTCTCCACATTACTAGAGTGCCTCATATCCTGTTTCTAACATCACGCCACTCCATGCAGTCACAGAAAAATAGTGGGAGAGGCCTCTGAGACCGTCTGTCCACCCCTCATACTAAAGAAAAGGCAACTGAGAAACAGAGAAAGAGACATGTATTGCCCAAAGAACTAACTCATGGCATTCGCGGGACTAGAAGCTTTCCAATGCACCACACAACTTTTTTTTTTTTTTTTTTTTTTTTTTTTGAGATGGAGTCTTGCTCTGTCACCCAGGCTATCGGCTCACTGCAACCTCCGCCTCCCAGGTTCAAGGGATTCTCCTGTCTCAGCCTCCCGAGTAGCTGGGATTACAGGAGCTCACCACCGTGCCCAGCTAATTTTTGTATTTTTAGTAGAGACGAGGTGTCACCGTCTTGGCCAGGGTGGTCTCGAACTCCTGATCTCGTGATCCACCCACCTCGGCCTCCCAAAGTGCTGGGATTACAAGCATAAGCCACCGTGTCAGGTCCACACAACTTTTATTTTCCATACTAGTACTGTCTAGACAATCAAAGCTAACTTTAAAGGGGCCACTGAAAGTTGCTGTTCAAAGGAAACCTACAGTGACTATTACCATAAATTCAAAAAATATTTTACTCTGCTTGTCATCAGTAAAAGAATTGCTTGAATTGAAGCGTATGTAACAAACCTATCCTCTTGCAAAACTAGTTAGTGGCTCTGTGGTTAAGTCTTGGAATACCTGCGGCTGTTTCTGGGAAGGTGGTCCTGTGCTGCAGATAAATATGTCACTTGGGTTTCTATTGATTACATTATTACTTGATTATAAGACTCTCACTGTCACGAGGGAGGATCTTGGCTCATCTGAGATTTCCTTAGCCCCCTGAGTGGTGCTGAAATTGTTTTAATAAAGATGTTGCGCTTTACTCATGTGCTGCTGTTAGCATTTGACGTGCTGTCTCAGAGCGAAAAAACGGAGGATCCCAGCCTTCCAGTAGGAAGGCTTAAAGAGGCTGTTGGCAAGTGTCTCCAAGAATTGCACAACATTTGTTGAGGGTGGGTTAAGGGTGGGGAGGCAGAGGAGAGTAAACAGAAAATACCGATCCCCAAATGTTAGTTACGCTTGCAAAAGCTAAGGCCTGCTTCAAAAATCTGGTGATTAACCTGAATAACAAGCAAAGCTTTCTTAGTTGTGGGCAAGTGCAGACCTCCTAGGGCTTCCCTTAGGTTCGGCGATTCTGTGGTCCCCCTCCAAGCCTACTAACCAATAGAAGCTAGCATCTCTGCCCAGCTGCGCAGAGTAAAAACCTGAGTGGGAATGTAAAGTCCTTAACTCATACAAATACTGGACTTTCACCTCCCTCCCCATTCCTCCCTCTCCAGCCCAGTCCCGCAAAAGCCTCCCCGAGGAGTCCCAAGCTGCTTCTACTAGGAAAGGACTCCCTGGCCACAACGCCCCTGATGCAGCTACCAAAGAGCAAGAGGAGCAGGAGTGTGAACGTACCTCGGCCTCTGAACAAGTCGGCAGAAACGGGCAGGACGGTAGAAAGAAGTTTTGTTTCTCACCAGCTTCTTCCTCCCTAGTACGACGATGGGGAGTCCGTAGAAAACGCAAAGATGTTCTTTTGAATCCTGCTTTGCATCTGGGTGGAGTGGCGTGCTTGCGTGAGTGTGTGTACACGGACGGAGATGGGGGCGTAGTGAGGAGTGGAGGGTAGGCGTACGAGCCTCTGCGTAGCTGGGACCGCACCCTGCTTCTCCCAGGAGGCCTCTCCCGCCTGCATCCGCCCTTGGAGCTGGCGCCGCAGCAGCCCCGCCCCAGGGGCCGCAGGGGCAGACCAGGCAAAGAACAAGTCTAGGATCCACGCTCCTTCCTCAGCTGGAACCCAACGGGCAGCAGCCGCGAGCGCACTGCCTCCACGGAGAGCAGATGGCGGGAAACTGGCTTCTGCTCCCAAGAGCCAGGCGGCCCTTAGGAGACTACCCCTGGCTGAGCGTCCAGGAACCCATGAAGCTCGGTCTTGACACTGGTCGGCAGCCCCATCTGCCACGTACTTATTTGGTGCTGCTTTCTTTAGCAGGACAGCCCAACAAGAGACAGTCTGTATTTCATATTTAACTGAAACTTTTTTCAGTAGTTGCCAAAAGGGGGTGGAAAAAACAGTACACCTAAGGGCTCGTCCGGGATTTGAACCCGGGACCTCTCGCACCCAAAGCGAGAATCATACCCCTAGACCAACGAGCCACTGCGTTGAAGATGGGTTCATATCACTCTGAATTTCTGTTTTCCGCCTGCCGTTCTGAAGGTTTTTCTGTTTCTGTTTTTTTCTTTGTTGTGACATTTCCCTTTGGCCTTATTTAGTTATTCCTTCCATCTTTACCAAGTTTCAAGTATGGCTTATTGTCTGGCTTATTCTCCTCGATCCAGACGCAGGATGGGGTGAACGAAGGCAGCTTTTTAGACTTCAGACATCCTTGCGTCTCACTGAGCCGGGGAAGCGATTTAAGCCCACTAGAGCCTGGTGGGAACCTGGAGGGGTCTGAGATAGAGATCGAGGGCCAGAGCTGAGCTCGGTTGCAAGGCTGTAGGTTACTGAGCCCCAGGACAGACGCGCGCTACGTATATACCTGCCGGCCTTTGGACTTAACGTAGAAGCCAAAATATAACACACTTCGGTAAGATAACAGTACCTTCCCCCTAAAGGTTGGACGATTCGGGTCTACTGTCTTTCAGAGCTAGGTAACCAACTTTTCATGGCGTGAATAACGCAGCTCAACTCGTGGCTAAGCTGTTTCCTTCAGACAAGGGTAAGAGATAGAAAGAGATTTCATCACGTTAACATAGAGATGTATTGCACAAACCAAGAGCTACTGTCAACCCCAAAACAGCAACCTCTCCTTCGAGCCGGAATCGAACCAGCGACCTAAGGATGACGATACGCTAAGTACTACAGTCCTCCGCTCTACCAGCTGAGCTATCGAAGGGAGTGCGAGAAAATGGCTCCTAAAAATCCCTCTTCAAGACATCCTTAACCAGAGACGGGAAAGAAATCTCTTTATATCTGGAAAGTGATTATTGCAGAGTCGCAAAGCCAGCTTGTAAGACACCTGCGTCCAAGGTTCTGAGGACAACCTTTCTAAAGCTGGATTCCCCTGCTTCACTGAGGGGCTCCCAAGCAGAGCAGGTGCCCCTGGAACCTGGACATACCGAGACTGCGCATCCTCTGTGCCCCCGAGGCCTATTGGCCTCACTGGGCTTGGACCCAGGGGCCTCGCGAGCATGGATGCGTGTGTTTGTGTGTAGGGTGGAGACCGGCACCTGGGCCTCAGAACTGGGGGCTGAGGCTGTGGGACGCACACAATTCTGACTGCGCAACTGTGAACGCCGGAGAGGGCGGGCCTCCAGGCTTAGGCCCGAGCTCTCTGGTGTCCTCACTTCCTGCGCTCCCCTCCCAATTTCGGCTCTTCCGCTTACACGTCCACAGATTCGGGAGGGAGAGGGTGTAGAATGGAGCAGTGGTCCCCAACTTTTTTGGCACCAGAGACCGGTTTCGTGGAAGACACTTTTTCCACGGACCTTGGGGGCGGGGAGGAGGAGTTGGGGGATGGTTTCGGGATGAAACTGTTCCACCTCAGATCATCAGGCATCACTTAGATTCTCATAAAAAGAGAACAGTTTAGATCCCTGGCATGCGCAGTTCCCAATAGGGTTCGCTCTCCTATAGGATTCTAATGCCACCGCTGATCTCACAGGAGGCGGAGCTCAGGCGGTACTGGTAGCTAGCCCGCAGTTCACCTCCTGCTGTGCGGCCGGGTTCCTAACAGGCCATGGACCGGTGTGCAGCCCAAGGGTTGGGAACCCCTGAAATAGAGGACATCTGGGCAAACCCAATGTTTCTGTGTGAATTCGCTTTTGGAGAAAATATTTTCAGCTCATTCAAAAGGAAAGCCACATTTCTCTGCTTCAAAATCAAGTTTAGTGACCCAAGTCTCGCCGCTAAAGTCGGGCCCTTAATTTCCCAAAACCCCACTGGCACATGAAACCTTGCCGCACAGTATGCGTCTATCTTCTGGACACCTGGCAAAAGCGGTCATCGCTGGCTCTTCCTGTTTCAGAAGGGGAACCTTGATCTCTACTCCAAATATGCCCAGACCCGGGGCTTGAGAATAGCTTAAGGGTCCATTGTCTCGCCTAGCTGTCCCCATTTCCCTCCCGGAAGCGAGCAGGGCTCTCGCTACCAGTCCGCAAGCCAGGGCGTTGGCAGGGGCTGAGGACGATTTCCACCGCTTGTGTAATGGATTCCGCCGCATTCCAGGAGGTAAAGCAGCATTACTACTGGACCCTAAAGGAAACGTTCTGCTCAGCTAGTGTTTATTTGGAAGCTCTGAACGGCGGCAAGAAGTTACAATCTGCCACGTATTCTCAGGGTCAGTTCAGAAAGACTAGGAGGGGAATGTAAGTAAAACCTGAATCAAGAAAGTAAACTAGAAAGGCCCCAGCGAGATTTGAACTCGCGACCCCTGGTTTACAAGACCAGTGCTCTAACCCCTGAGCTATAGGGCCTCACGGAGGAAAAGTGTCTTCATTTCATAGAAAAGGAAAAGATTTTCAGGGCTTCTGCTAAGATCTGAGCATAGAAACTAAGTAAAATCCGGATGTCGTCTCAATCCACTTCCCAACCATTAGACTTCAGTTCACAGACTTTGTTCTTGCTGGGGATGGTGCAAAGTGAAGGCCAGTGACAGGGACCACTACTATCCTAAGACTGGAGAAATCTGCCCAACGCGACACAGTCTAACACAGAAAAACTCTTCACTTGCCCACTTCAGACTGAAAATTAAGAAAGGAAAACCGGCAGAGGAAGGAGCTCACCACAGGTCTCACTTGAAACTGCTGACAGCCGCATTTTGTTTCCTGCTTGTGAGTCTCCCGCTGAGACTCACAGTTGCGAGTCTCAGTGCCAGAGCAGGCATTTGTTAATTTGCAGTTTAATTCATTTCTTCATTCAACAAACACTGCAGTCCAGTCTGTACTAGGCTCTGCACTAAGAACTAGGGATCCAGATACGATCTTTATCCTGAAGTCACTGTCACAGTCTTGTGGAACAAAAGAACTTTAATTTTCATGAAGGAAAACAATGAAAAGTAGCTGTGCCAGGTGTGAA